ACCAACCAACCAACCAACCAACCAACCAACCAACAAACAAACAAACAAATCAAACAAACAAACAACCCAAACGCGCGCGCACACACGCACAAGCACAACCACACAACCCGACACAAGCACTCACACACACATAAAACACACAAAAAAGAAGCAGCACAAACACAGACACAACCACAAACACAAACACACAAAATGTCATTCAACACTTGTAGGAAACTAAACAAAACAAACAACAATGCTATTCTAGATTTGAGGTCTGGCAAACATCATCTGATTTGCTGAAGGTGCACAAACAGATTCACTAGTTTCACTGAAGCATACACCCAGATTTCAAAGCCCAGAAATCGGGTGTATCCTGTTTTGCGGGTGTTCTGTTTGAGGGTAGATGTTCAAAGGGAAGGAACTGGAAACCAATCACTTTAGGAGGGTTCAACTATGTTGAGACAAACCCATGTTCAAATCATCCGCCCATGTGGACCGCCAGGCCAGCAACTCTCCGCGCGAATGGTTTGAGGCTTCTGGCCAAAGGCTGGCCGTCGGCCCCAAGCCCCAGCTTGCCGTGCCTCGGAACGCAAAGAGTCTCGTGGCAAGCGCAAGACCAAGCGACTGAGGCCGGAAATTCACCCAAAACCCGCTGCCTGTTGACTGCACCTGATCAGCTGCCTCTTCCCTTACTTCAGGAGTCGCTCAGGCTGACATGAGCCAAGTGTCGGAGTGGAATTGACCACTCCAAGCAGATCAATTCATGGAGCTTCGAACGATGATTTTGCACCGGAAAGCGAGCCTGACAGTCTGGAAATGGGGGAGGAACAAGGAAGCCCCAAGCTTCCAGCTGCCTGGTTGGACCGACTCCAGGCATCACCTGCGCACTTGCCGACTTTGAGGCTGCTTGCAAGTAGGATGTGTTCAGCGCCGTGAAACGCAACCAACATGTGGCCTTGACTGGGAGCGTCAAGCTCACGTTTGGCACAAAGCCCGTGACCCCAAGAGCCTTCGACTTAACACATGCAACGGAGACCCGAGCCATCTGCCCTTTCGCTGTCGCTCACCTCCTGCGGCCCCGCGTCGTAGTCCCGATCTGCGGGCCTGGCGCTTGGCAAAGATCCCAGCGGCACACATCAGGAGGGGTGTTCGACCCCGGTACCTACAGCGCGTTGCAGTTTCAAGCTCTCACGCAGACACCCCGAAATGCCCCGCCCTCCCTCACCTCAAACTTGGCAAAATAAGCTTTAACATACCAACTCAAATACAACCTTCGACTGCAACTCTCTGATCAAAGTGCCAAATAATATCAAATAATAACAAGCATCGATTTGCAACGACAAGCCTAGGGGGATCCTTCAAAACATTGGCATGTTCAGGTTTTTGTTGGCTGGGTTGCTCACCTGGACGTTGCAATTTGAGCCATTGTTTCAGCAAAACATATTAAGGGGGGGGGGTCAGCAGGCCCAGGTCGCGCAAAGCAACGAGAGGAAGACTCGAGCCGCAGGCCCCATCCTTCGCACAGTCCAGCCGGCGCCTGGGTGGCGGCCGTGGGGCGTTGTCCTGCGTCTCGGGGGCCTTTTCCTCGAGCTTTGCCTGGCTGAAAAGCCAAACGGGCGATTTCCGGTGGGAAAGGCCACGTTGTATGGCCCGAGCTGTGCAAGTGATTCTGGCGTGGTCGAACCAAAGGACTATGATTTGGGTCAATGCCTAGAATGCCTAAAAACACGGCCAAGGAATTTCATGAATAAGGGCAAATGACGATACGAATTGGCCTGCAAGACCAGCTGGGCGGGCACCAATGGTGCTAAGGTTGAGGTTCAGCTAAAAAGCTTCCAGCAAAGTATTGAACGTGACGCTAGAAGGTACGTCGTTGCTGGCAACAAAAAAGTGCTCAGCAGTCGGAAGTACATTGCCTTCCCACATGTTGCAGGATGTATGATATATATATATATGTACTGATATGCGTAAATGCATATTTACAAATATACACAACAGTAGCAATAACAGTGATAGCAATTTCAATAACAACAATATAACGCAATAACAACAAGTCTGAACAAACAAATATCCATATATATATATATGTATACCTAGATGCATGTAAACCTATAATTAAGTCTAAAACTTTTACTAATATGGATATGTATATATATTTATATATATATATATATATATATATATATTCAGATATGTCGTGTCTCCGGCACAGTGGCTTGGCTGACGCACTGACTGTGAAGGCCCCTGAGCCTCCCGCCAAGGTGGGCCTCCCTGTAGGCATCTGCGTCTGTACCACAGCAGGCTCCTGTCGCGCAGTTGGGCGTTCCCTGAAGCGAACTCGGATCATGAACGTTTCATCCGGAAACACATCAAGCAAACTGCAAACACACACACACACCACACACACACACACCACACACACACACACACACACACGCATAAAGCAAGCTACTTTACTTGGTTGCGAAGCTAAGCTCGACTCCAACCACGCAGGCGCCAAAAGGTCAATCCGACTGCGTAGGCTTTAAGCATGCGGCTGGGTGATGCGACGGCGAAGACACTTAGTCGAACCAAAATGGAACATTTTTGGTGGGACGCGGTTCGCTCTTTGACCAGTCAAGCTCTTGCGAGAGGACAACGTGGGCGCCACCTATCGGCCTGTCACAGCTGGTCCGGCCACTGGCCGGAGCCTCCGGCTTTGGACTGTCACGGCCGTCAGTTCTGTCTCCACCTGCGGTAAAGGCTTCATATAGTTTGGGCATATTTCACAACACCTTGTACTTGGAAGGTCCTGACTGCAATGCCCAAATTGATGTGTCAAAGCACTTCCATATGGTCATTGGCCATAAGATTTAAGTGAAACCACCCTGAAAGTTACACATATGGATAGTGGACATAAATCCCCGTGCATGATTGATGTCCCCAAATCTATACGAATGTCAATTCGATGTTGGTCTCTGTTGTCTTCTCTGCAACCAGGCAGGGTATTGCTTCACCCAACGGCAGATCGATGGCCAAATACTGAACGGGAGAACGATGATGAGGAGTGTCTCCCAACCGGCTGGGCGCCTTCTGATTTCTGATCAATCAAGCTCTTGCAGAAGCCTTGAACTGATAGGTGCAAGTCACTAAGTGCCAACCTGACACGGGTTCAGGCACTGTTGACAACCCCTAGCAGGAGGAAGCCTCCGCAGGTCACGCACACCAAAGGCCAAATCGAAAACAGAAGCCTTCAAGTTTCCTTACAAGTGATGTTGGTGCTTGATTCAATTAATCCCCCACCCCCAAACAGCCAGGGTGCCTTCCTTTTTTTTGGGCCGTAACACAGTAAGCCGTGACTGTTTGGTGCCACTTTCAGATACCCACATGCAAATTATGAAACGACATGGCCAAAATCACGCCAGGACAGTACTCTCATGAGGCCAGAAGCAACACATTGACATAGCTTTGCAGCCTCGTCTCACCAAAGCAATCAAAGATCTGCCTTGCCTCAAAGGTCCGTTCTTCTGTTTTGTCTTCGCTTCAGTTGGGCTATAGTGTGTCCAACAATCACGAAACACGCGGCACTTTGAGCTCCGAATCAACTAGCTCCGTGCAATCAAGACGTCTGAGCCCATCCCCTTGGTTGGCTCTCAAGGGAAGCTAAAGGGAACGCCAAATTGTTGGGGTCCCCTCAGAAAAGACCCACCCTGGTGCGTCCGCAAGTCTCGCTGTTTTGGGCAAGTTCACGCATGTGGTTGGTCCTGTGCCCAGCGAAATCGCCCAATCCGTGAGGCTGCAAATGGCCACGGCGGGATTGCTTCCCACGGCTCAGGCATAGCGGGGATCAGCACCAGCCGTCGAATTCGCAGCTGGGTCGCACCCCGGCTGCTCAAACTAAAAGCCGCTGTTCGCTGCCCAGTAGCCAAAGGACCTAGAGTCTCCATGACCCTCAAAAAATGGGTCCATGACCCCACAATTTTGGGTAATGACCCCTTGATCTTGGGTAATGACCCCATTTTTCAAGGGTCATGGAGACTCCAGGGAGATCCTTTAACCTACTTGACTCACCGACCACGAATTTCCCATTTCGCTACTGAGCAACTGAGTGAGGCAGTCAGGCACTCCAGGCGCCAGGGCCTAGGCCCCTGAAAACCACAAACTGTAGCGCCTACAAAAGGCGGTTCAAGGCATATAGAAAGTCTGAAGCACAAGAGGCAGCCGGATGACACGGCAAACTGCAACCACTTCATCACAGCAAAAAAAAGGAAAAACACTTCATCACAGAAAAATGATCAAGACTTGAAGGATTCATTCCGGCGCCTCGTCCGGCAGTCTTGGTGCAACCTCCGGACTGAATTCGGATAGGGCAGTCTTTGCCCGGTCTGTATACGCGAAGAGGCGCTCCGGTGACACCACTCCTGGGTGACCGACACGGAGCAGCTGATCGCGAAGCTATTGCCACGATCCCGCCACGGGAGGAAGTGGCCTGGCGCGCGAAGCAGAAGCCAGAGGAACGGTTCGGGAGGAATCAGTCTTGAGCTGTCCGCAGATCCCCCGCTAAAAGTTCTAACTTTTAGGCTAAATGAAAAACCCACTAAACACTAAAAAGCTAAAAAGCTAAGGGGATGGTTGGGAGCACCAAGAGTCGTCATGGGAATGTGAAACAAACAGCAAGCACTCATGATCGATCCCGTCAACCATGGCATGCGTGGCGAAGACGGGCCCCGGCACGTGACACACGATAGATGCCATAGATAGGCATGGATGCATGCCTAGAGTGCCATTGATTATGAAATATGAATGTCGCACTGGCAGTGAATAGACATTGGAATCAGTCGAACCAATACGCAAACACTAAAATACAACAGGCTGCACAAGAGAAAAACACGATTCTTCCATGTTCAAGTAAATGCTGCTATATGGAACCCCAACCACCCATATTCAATAGCATCACACATGCAAAGCCCACAGATCTGCAAAACAACCCCAAACTCGGAGCATCGTGCCTGGCCAGCACCAAGCCGCGAAAAAGTAGTCTAGGGCCTCGGTTTTGGCTTCTTCACTTGCTCGAATGCCCTTGAAAATCCTTGAAATCTTCGAACTTGTGACTTTGGCCCTGAAACTCAACACGCTGCCTCTCAGTCGGACATCTGTTTGCTGGGTATCATTTACACGGGCATCTTTATGTCCACCCACGATCATGAGAGGGAGCACCCTGCGAAAGCCAACGTATCTGCATGTAAAATGGTTCTTAGACCCGAAACTGAGCACGTCGCACGGGCCTGGCATAGGTGTAGCACTGAAAGCCGGTAATGGCCGCGGTCGCCTGGCGGCCAACGACCTAACGACCTAACGACCTTCCGGCTTCGGCTTGCACAAGATGCGACTCATTCGTTGAACATCCGTTCCTCGCTTGTAGCCAATCCACAAATCAAGATGTCTCAAACATCGGGGAACCTGGTTTCGAATGGAAGCCAAAAGCACACCAACCGTCGTTTTGGGGTCCCGTTGAGACAACACTCAAATCACAAACCGACGGCTAAACAAGCTTCAGATACTGAAACCTGTGAGATCCATCAAACTGCTCAATCAAACTCACATAGGACATCTGAGCCCTCTTGAAACTTAAACCCCAACCTGATTCTGCTGTTCAACTCACCCAAAAAGGGCCATATATGTTCCAGGCTGTAGGTCTCCCCCCTTGCTCTACCAATGGTCATGGTACTCCGTTTTTCTGTGGAGAGGTTGTGGGCGTTGGTCAGGGTTGGGTAATGTCCACCTAGGATTCAAGAATGCACCCGAACTAAAGAGAAGCGCGTGGCACAAACGAGTATATGTTCAACCAAATTCGCCTGGTGGATGCACGAAATCCTGCACCACGTGGAATAGATAAAACCCCATCAATCATGGGATAACCACCTACCAACTGGTGTGAAGTGAGATTTCTCCATCCACAGTATCATCGGACACCGAAGCGGAGACGTTCCAAAACAGGGAAACAAATCCCACAGACATGGTCTGCCGAAGCCTTGCAGCCAAGCACCTAGAACAACCTACCAAAAGGGCGCAGCCCCTAGGCTCATTTAATTATACATATTACATATGTATACATGTATCTCTACATATATATACACATTATCTCAAGTTGTATGCGCATGTGTGTGTGTGTTAAATGGGTACCCAGATTTGGGGTCAACAACCAACTAAATCTTTGGGGCCCGCGCTTTTCGTCTTGGGCCCGGCCTGGATTCCCTCTGCCCGCGTCCAGAGCTCGCAGCGGCCCAGGGAGATCTCCACCCCCACGCAATCCGCCTGACGCACACCCCAGCCCTCCTGCGGGTTTTACTTCGAAACCGCAACTTTATTGGAGAGCAGGGCTTACAAGAGTTAGTTCACGAGTTTTGGTCAAGTTTCTCTCTGTTCTCTCTGCGCGAAGACTTGCACGGCTTCTCAAGAGTTAAGAGCTTCCCCAAGAGTTTCTGGATTCTTCTGGTTTCGCAAGCTTCACGTTTGGACGGCTTCAAGAGTTCGGCGTCCTGGTTCTTGTTTCCCGGATACTCTTTCACATCTCACCCCTTAATCCAAACGACGATGCCCGAGCCTTGTCCGCGCAGGAGCTGAAGCACTCGGCAGCGGAGATACCATGGACCTTAGTGAGCGTGCATGCGAAACCAGCACCGCCCCCCCCTTTCCCCCCTTTCGGCAATGTACCAACTATGGGTTAGATACTCTGCAGTCAAGGATGTAATTGTGGAAAATGGTCACCCCTTTCAGTGATACCACTGGAAGGCCTTCTCAATTACATACTGATTCCCCACATACAGGGCCAGTGCTTCGCTATGACAAAGGTGGGGCTCCATTCCATGCAATGCTTGTAAGAATAAGACTATTGCCTTGTGAAAGCTGTCCCTCTCCTTCCCCTTTGCCGCCGCCTTTGCATGTTCTTCTCATGTAGACAAATTATTCGCAAAGGAGAGGGTGAGGAGGTGGGAGACAAGGTGTCCATCATTATGCTTTATTACCCATCATATTCTACAAAACCGCTTATCACTTGCACCCTCACATCACTTGCAAACCTCCTAAATCACTTGCGACCTCAAATCTAATCGCTTGCGACCTCGAGGGGTAGGGGTGGGGGGTGGGGGGATTATGACGTTCGCTGTCATGGGCACGCACAAGCAGCGACATGCACGGGTAGGGTAAGCAGGCTCCAGCACCGGAGGGATGGTGGGGCGCTGAATACGCTCCGCACCTTTTCTAGCGCACATGTGTGGGTGCACGGCGGCGTGGGTTCGTGGGCGCCGTGGATATGTGGGTGCGTCAGTAGGTGCGTGGGTGTGTGGGTGAGTGGGTGCCTGGGCGCGTGGGCGCATGGGTGCGTGTGTGAGCACGTGGGTCGCGTGCGTGAGTGGCGTGAGACAAATCCAGGTCACAAGCGAGAAAAAAAACAGGTCACAAGCGATGCAGCGCCTAGATCTAACGGACTCTCCGCAATGGCCAAGAAAAATACATCACGACCATGGCACTCAGGCAGTCTATCACTCCAAAATTCGGCTCAGGCAATCATTGAAGCGAAGAAAACGGGCGCTGACGGCTTGCACAAACGGACAGACCCTGCAATTTTGAAGAACCTACAAACATAGTGTTGAAGTATGGATTGTCGATGTGTGTAGGTGCTTCAAAGGGAAAGGAGTACTCCAAATGCGGGCAGCCCCAAAAGAAACGTCCAGAATAGGTGCGTCATGTGAATCTAGGTTGCCACGCGTAGGGAAGCACATAAACCGGGGAATGGAGAGCACACAACACATTGGGAAACAACGCCGGAAGAATCAATAAGACCGACCTTCCGACCGATAATTAAGACCAGGCGATGATAGCAAAAGAAAAGAAGCAACCTAATCGCGAAATTCCATTGAAATCAGGCGTGAGCCAAAGCAGAGCGTCACAAGGATCAAACTCATCGTTTGCCGGCAAAAAGGGTAACGAGTCATTGCTTCAGCTCGAAAAAAGGGCTTGATTTACATGTCAATATGGGCGCTTCTCAAGACAGGGGACCCTTTGTTGGATGGTTTTACCGGAAAACCAAGAGGAACCCACCTTCCAATTTTGAGAAATACTACCCGTACTGTCCCAACCTCTTGATTCGCTTCATGGCCTCGGCTGCATGCACAGTGGAAGACCTCCATTCCAATGTGGCGCTCGGTGCGTTTCTCACGTCCGATCGAGTGGATTGGCGAAGAAACTGAACTGTTACTAAAAGTGTCTTCCCAGAAAGTATAATGTAGTCAGGTTATTACACATCGGACGCTGGTGCAAATCATTGACGGCAACACGCCAACAAAGGAAGACACAGGTCTTGGACGGAAAACTGATGCTTGAAGCAACGTAAGGGAAGGTATAACGTCAACACCCAGCAACTTATGTTTTTTCAGGTGTTTGGTACAAGACCGTTTAAGGGGAACACAATATGGAATTGAACACCAAAAAGGAAGCCAGAGAGAACCGGTCTTGAGTAAAACCGTACCTTGCTAAAGGGTCTACTCAAGATCGATCTGCTGTACGAATCCATTTGCACAGGCCAACCACCAACAATTGGCCAAATTGACATTGACACACCCTGAGCTAGCCTCATTGCCAAAGTCACCCCCCTCCAAGTGGTGGGTCAAAGGAGACAACCCCAGTTGACTTGCAAGCTTTGACGCAGAAATCCCCACAGAAACCGACACATGACAACGGGCTTCCCGGCCGCCGTGTAGTGGCCCGGGTTGTTGTCCGAGGCGGACCCGCCCCGGCAGGCGCGGTCAACGGCGCCGTCCTTCGGAGAGAAGCCGGTGGGAAAGGCGGCACTCAGGTAGCCTGGGCCGAATCGGGGAACCGGAACCACCAAACACGGCAAGAGAATCTCAGTGAATCGTATCACAAAGGATACTCTCAGCACTTACAATACCTGGATTCAATTCAGTCGTCTACAGAGGATCAAACATTCCCACAGAGCAAAATTACCATGCGCCGCCATGCCGCAGTGGCAACCAGCGACCCCAGTAAAAGGAAGCAATCATTTGTTTGAGCAGTTGTTGACAAGCAAATGCTAGGAGAAAGGGTACTGGGACTGGGAGCAAAGTGTTCAATGTCGGAATATGTTGCATGTGAGTGGGCCTGCGTGCCCACCCATCACCTGGTTGCGTCTTTAGGGCAACCAAGGTGCACTTAAGACTGGACATCCTAAGTTGGAAGGAGCGAAGCGACTTGAAATCCGGGAACGCGAAAGCCTGAATTGCGGCCCGAAACAACAGGAACGGCCCTTGGCACTTTCTTAGGGGTTCTCTGAGAACCGTTCTGTGGGGCTGCCCTAATGTCTCTCCTGATTTGCGAGGCCAAACCTTCCTGTGAGTTGCGCCGGTTGCCGGCAGTTTGGGAGACACGCTTGTGCACAGCTTTACGTATTGTGCTGATAAGAAGCACATCTTTGCGCACCCATCGATGTTGCCCGTGGAGCCCGCAAGCACACCCCCGAGTCAGTCTCCCTAATTATCAAACTGAAGTTTGATGAAACTCACTATTGCTTTGAGTCCAACGCCCCGAGCGCAATACACGTTGCCCCCAGAGAGGCCGTTTGGCAGCAACCCGAGTAAAATATGTGCTCACCTGTCATGACTCCGTGCCGGCAAACATTTGCCAAGATGTCTGCAGGCCGTGATTTCTAACTGCAGGATCAGGCACCACCCTGTGTCTTCAATAGCAATGGTTCAGCAAGGCAAATGTTGAGGGCCTTGCCTGGGAGTTCAACATAAGGCCTGCGAACACGAGTGGTTCACACGATTCAAAGGGCGTCCTCAGTTGGAGGGCAAAACCGTCTCCATGTTTCTGTGTCTTTTTGCTGGTGCACCCCTTGCCATTTTGGGTTCGGGACACCAGAAACCCAAAAAAAACCCAACGCCGCGCCTTTTCAACTTCCCTCTTTCTGTTTTGGATCCAAGGCTTGCAGGCTACGGTGGTGCGTGCCCACAAGGACATGTTGAAATCCATCCAAACCAATCCAAACCACCAAGTAAGGCTTGCATAGAGGTGCCCCTTCCATCTGAGCTCCCGACTCAACAAATACATCACGAGATTGGCAGTTTTGACAAACGATAGCATTGAGGTGGCTATGAATTTTGAGACTTGGAATCTCAAAAGTGCTATGGGCATGAACCCCCTCACTCACTTCCTGAGTGGATGGGCCAAGACAGGTCCGAGCCTATATTGTTTACCACCAAAACGGTCCTCCCCAATAAACTCAAAAAGGCAAAGGTTAACTCAGGAAGTAAGCTATAGATGTCCACGTCGAACCTTTTGTTTACCACCAAAACGTTCTTCCCCAAAAGTTTAAAAAAGGAACTCGGGTCGAACCCCACCAACATGGTCTTCCCCAACAGTTCCAAAAACACAAGTTAACTCAGCAAGCAAGCTAGATGTCCATGTCAAACCAGGCCCCAACCCAACCCCACCCCCAACACCCCACCCATTGCTTTGGGTTCATCCCCAACCTTTCTCAAACCGCCAGCTCGGAAGGCTTCGGTTGCCTACCGAAACTCTTCCGAATGGGCGGGGGTAACCAGCTGGCTACCAGTGCCGATGCTCTTTTTCATCTGCTGTGGTTTGCCTAAAATCTCAGAAACGAACTCGGGCACATGGCTCGATGTTCCCCAAAACCCCACCCCCCACCCCCCAACCCCCACCCCCCAACCCCAACCCCCACCCCCCAACCCCACCCCCAAAACCCCACCCCCCACCCCCCAACCCCCCCCCACACCCCACCCCCTCAACCCCAACCCCCGAACCCCACGGTACTCGAACTCGAAGCCCAGGGGCGGTAGCATTGGTATTGGTCCAAAGGCTTCGTGGCTTCGATGCCTCCCGGCCGCGTCCAGAGCTCGCAGCGCCCGGAGGGGTGGAACTCGATGCCCTGTCTCGAGACCCGTGGCTATTTGGGGGGGTCCCTAACCGTTCCCCCTCCCCAAAAAAGGGAAGGGTTGACTGAAAATTAGGAAACCCCCAAAAGTGCGGTCCTTTTTTCTGCTTCCCTTTCACACAAAAACACAGACCTCAGAAAGTTGGTGATTTGAATTGGGGGTTTCCGGGGTGGGAAACCAACATGTCCCACAAAAACTACCAGTAGGGGTTGGAATGCCGAAGCCTCCAAGTTACATGAAACATGAGGAGGCTCAAAATCACGAATTCCAAGGCAACCACACATTTTTTTAGAGGGCGCAATTGTTAAAGCGCCACATTGCAAGGCTGGACACGAAGCTGTAGAAAAAGTACTTGATTCGCTGACGGCTGCAAAAGATGGCGAAAGTCAAGCCCTGGCTGCCCCGTCGCTGTCTCTCGCCCCCCACGATCCACCCGTCCCCGCGCATCATACAACATCATCATGCCATCGCCCTGGCTGGCGTGCTCTTGCTCTTGCTTTTGCCGTTGCTGGCTGGTTGGCTCGCTTGTTCGTTAGTTGGTTGGTTGCTTGGTTGCTTGGCTGGCTGCATGCTGGTTGGCTTTTTGGCTGGTGGTCTCGGTCTGGTTGTTTGGTTGGTTGGTCGGTTGGGCGTTCAGTCGGTTGGCTCGTTGGCTGTTTAATTGGTTGCTTTCGTTGTTTTTGGCTTGGTTGTTGGTTGGTTGGGCCGAGAGAGAGAGAGAGAGAGCGAGAGAGAGAGAGAGAGAGCGAGAGAGAGAGAGAGAGAGCGAGAGAGACAGAGAACGAGAGAGAGAGAGAGAGCGAGAGATAGAGAGAGAGAGAGAGCGGGAGAGAGAGAGAGAGGGCGAGAGAGAGAGAGAGAGCGAGAGAAGAGATATAGACTACAGACAGAGAAAAGAGAGGGAGAGAGAGCAATAGGTAGAAAAGAGAGGACAGAGATAAGCGAGAAAGAGAGAGAGAGAGAGGGAGAGAGAGAGAGGGCAAGAGCAAGACAACCAACACCAAACAAACCAAATAACCCAACCAACAATGGCAACGAGGCCAAAGAGCCAGTCCCTTCCCGTTTATGTCTCTATACTTATTGAGCACATCCAACATCCATGATTTAGAGAAGCACATCATTTCCTGCGTGACAACATAAGTTCCCTAAGTCGAATCTTCAAAAAAAGGCTTGGTGGATATCTAACTTATAATTTTTATGTATCTGTAAGAAAACCAAGCCTACTCGCGGAACTTGTAATAGACCATATACTGGAGTCGTACGTTCACTTATAGTAAGCGAGACATACAGCGGGATCGTAAAATCGTACAAAGTCCTGTTTTTTTGACAACAACCCGACCCCTCGCCAAAGCAGAATTGTCTTCTTGCCGAGCTCTCTCATGGCTCTAGAAACAAGACCTTATCTAGCGGCTGACGCTGCGCATCTATGCTATCGACCTAAGCTACCCAATCTTCAACACCCAAGCTCTTTGCCCAGACTCTGTACGCAGACTACTCACATCCAGACTTTTCCCGGGCTACTCGCCTCTGTGCAGATGGCTCTGTGCAAGTTTGTCTGTGCAAGTTGCCCTGTGCAACTTGGCGCACGGAAGAGCCCTTCGCGATGCTTTCGGGAAAATAACAACGATGTCCGAATTGCCAAACCTAGCAAACATATGCTAGAAAACACCCTTGACCTTGCAGTGGTTCGACATATTCTTCACCAAGCGCGCCTGGCAGCCCTCTAGGGCCATGCACTGCTCCCCGCAGTTCCTGAGACCGCTTCGGAACAGTTTGGCGCTCGGAACAGTCAGGGCAAAGATCCTCATTCCGAGGTCTTTGTTTCTTGGGGGTACTTTTTTTGGTAGGCTTCCATGTTCCTGATTGAACGGCCTTTGGGCTTTCCAGTGCGGATGTGTCAGAGGTCTTAGCCGTCGCCTGTGTTCAAACATGCCTCGGACTAACCTTAACTGATTTCCGGACTTCGCTTCTCCTGAATTGTACCTTGGCTAGACCTCACTCCTTTCAGGCTCCAAAGAAGGCATCAGGCGCCAAAAACAGGCATCAGAGGCAACCACGCCTTTCAAGGTGTTTCAGCGTCTCCTTGGAGGTCCATCATGGGCATGATGCCATGGACGATTGATGGATGCGAGACCATAGGTGACCTTTTGGAAACATCGATGGCCCTGGTAAATGGAGAAACAAACCGACCAGTGGAACTCATCTATTTCTACTCAAACTCACCTAACAAGGCCGCCTATGCTGGTCATGCATGCCATACTCAGTGAGGTATAGAACTGAAACCATCCATCTCAAATCTCTTAAACACAAATCGTGGTTAGCTTGAGGTATCCAAGGGAACCCATCCAAGTCAAACCTCGCAAAAAAAAAAAAAAAAAAAAAAAACAGGTATAGAGCTGAAACCACCAAGTCAAACCTCGTTTAAAAAAAAAAAAAAGGTATAGAGCTGAAACCACCATGTCAAACCTCGTTTAAAAAAACAAAAGAAGCAACAAGTTTAACAAAAGAAAAGCGTGGTCAGCTTCAGCAGCTGGAGGGAGTGTGAGGCCTATGCGCTGAGCTTCGTGAGGCTGCTCGCGGAGGCCACTGTGAAGTAGGCGTTGCTGTTGTCAGCGATGCTGGAGCCACGGCACGCTTGATCCTGACACCGCGCCCCAAGACAGAAAGAAGAAGAGCCCAAAGAAGATGCTCAACATCTGGTGGTGTATGGGAACAAAGGAGGCGTGGCAAATTAGCTTTTGGCGCCCTATGATCTTTCTGGATATGCAGGTTGCCAATTTGCCTGCTCTAATTGGTTGAAAGCTAAGGTTGTCCCTGGGCCCCAATCATGCTGAGGGGTTCTGCACATTCAGTGGGGCCCGACATGTTCAACCATTGCTTGCGGGGGCAAAGGAAAACCCACGAAGGAAATGGACATTTGCCTAAGAAGGAGAACACTTCTGCGTAGAACCAGCATTGTGTATGCGCAGTGTGCAAGTAGGAGAATGCCACACGCATTCTGCGGTAAATTGTTATCTGTGTGTAGCTGTCACTGGCAAGCAAACTGAACCTGGATGCTATGGGGTCGGGAAGATCTGCTCCTGTTTGTCGAAATTGGCAATTTAAGTACTGAAGAGTGCGTGGGGCGAGCAAGGGTTGGCAAATCGCCTGTTGGAATAGCTCTGGCAATGCCAGGTGCAACGAACTCAGATCCCTTCATGCCTGCCTGGGTCATTGGTAGTTTGTATTTGTCTTGTATTTTAATTATTAGGGCTTAAAAGAGACCCACTCTCTGCGGTTCTGCTTGCTCTGCTTGCCCTCAATAAAGCTACGAGTACCACTCTCTTTGGCTCGCAGATGCCTCGCCTCCGATCGCGTCGAAAAGTGGCTGCAAAGCTGGGTCTCAGTGCCATCTGAAAGCAACAAGCGTTTCCTGCATCAGATCCACTGCAACAAGCGTTTAACTCTTGGTGGTTCAGTGGAAACTACCACTACACCCTGCAGGGACACAAACCTAAGGGGATGGCTGGGCACCACCCAGAAAATCCATCGCGCACCAGTAGATGGATTTCCCCATTCATTGGGCTTCATCCATCCCAACTGGTGTGGAATTTAGTCCATCCACAGTTGGCTCGTGGCCAGCTCAGTGTATCAGCCAATCAGCACATGACAAATGATAGAGCTTGCCGAAGCAGCTGAGCACAGGGCCGTATTTTAAAGATCAAAGTCCTGGAAACAATCCGGTATATGTATATATACTGGGCTGTCCTCAGATCGCCCGCTAAAAGTCTAAGTTTTAGCGGGTTAAATAGAAATCCCCACTAAACACTAAAAGTCTAAAAAACTAAGGGGATGGCTGGGAACCACCAAGTATATACAGTGTTCTCATCTGCAGTGTTTCGATCGTGGCTTGCTTTGCAATGTTGTGCATGAGCGTGAACAAGGGGTCTGTTGCCTGAGCGCCACTGCAATAACTAGGCGGTGTGCTTTACGTGAACCATGTTAAGATGTGTTGCTTTCACATTTCCCTGCTTGCTTGACATTTGACTTGAGTTATTCAGTGTTCAAAACGAAAAGTCAGACAGTGTGCTCCCGCTGTTGATGGCATCAGCAGTAAACTGCCAATTGAAGCCTGTCGTGGTTCTCAATGACAACGTAGGAAAAAACAAACAGCAGGCGACGGAGTGATACACGTTGCCCCTAGTTCTAAGCTTCAGCAAGTTGTTAGCATGAAGTCATGGTTCCCTTTAACGAATAGCTGTCAAAGCCTCATGCCGACCGGTCAACCCGATTCGGCTGGCCTGTCCCCCATTCACCGGCTCAAAGTTGGACAGCACTGGGCTCTGTGTGGTCAGAACCACTGCGTTGGTGTAGCGGAGGCATTGGTAGTCCTGAAGCGCAAAGGCACCAGGATTTCTCTCAAACCTCTTTTGGGGGGGAGAGGGCTCTTAATATCCTGAAGCCCGAGGCGCAATGTAAACTAGGTCCTCCAGTAGAGAGGTTAGAATAAGGCTACCCTCTTTTTCGGTTTTGTCTATTTTAGTAGGGGAACCCTCCCCCAAAAAAGGGGAGAGAAGGGCACTACTGGGCAACCTAGTAAAGAAGCAAGCATCCGATCAAACCAAAAATGGGTCCCCTAGCCTCCAACTAGCCTGGTGTTCAACCTGGAGGCCGTCGCCCCATGGCGCCTATCGCCCCAAAAACCTGCTTCTTGTTTCTCCAGAAAGGCGCTATCTGCGAAAAGCCCCTACTGCGCGATAGAT